CAGTTTTTGAAAATATGTTTTAAATTGTTAATAATTGTTCTATTAGAAGGAAAAAAAAATTGTATTTTTACTGACGTAGAAAGCCACAAAACTTTAATTTTAAAATAGATTTATCCATGCTATGACATCAAAGCATTTGTCTCGCAGACACGTGGGAAATAATTTATATTATAAAACCATGATTTCTAATAGATTACATGAAAAGTATAGTAATTATCATGATTGTATTATACGAAAATGTAGAAACACATCATTAAAGACTTTAGAACAGTTGTGGTTTAAATTGTACACATTCCTACACATGAACACATGTTTAAAACTTGCTAGATCCTGTAATAAATTTTTTTTGAGGTTATGAATGTACCTACTAAATCAAAGAGCTTTGTCGTTTCTGCTTTCACAAATCCGGCGTCCAGCATTAATTAAGTCAAAAAATCCAATGAACGGGAACTTTTCTACAAGATATAAGAGATTTTAGATATATTTTAGTCCGACGAAGGAAAAAGCAACACGACAATGACGTTTAGTTCTTTACAAATTTTGTGATGACAATAATGGTGGACAGCGTTTTAGTGTTTAAAAAGAATACACTAAAAACAAATTTTCTAATTAAATTACTATAGCCATCTTCTAATTTTATAAAGTGAAATCGATGTATTTAGGTTCCGCATACCAAAAATTTAAGTAATAAACATTTGTATAGCACAATTTGACATGAGTGAACTAGTCTAAATTGCTATAATATTCTATACAAAAATTCATAAAGTTCTATAAATGAAACCAAAAAAAGAATCTAAACATTTTCTAGACTCGAGAATATTGGCTTCTACTCTTAACTATTCCAACAATGATTTCGTCTCCCGTTCCATCCAAAGCTATTGTCCAAAGGCTTGAAACGATCTATGGACGGTTCGGGGGTTCTGTAAAGTTAGATAATTAATTACGTTTCCATAAAGCCTTGGACGTTCCCATTATAGTACCCAAGAGCATCGTAAGCTAACACAATATCGTACAATGCCCTATTGAATCTGGATAATACGTTTTTGAGTTACTACCCAAACGGATTAACAATATCACTTCAAGGAAAGTTATTATTCAATGGGATTAACTACTTATTTCAAAATTTACCAAGGTTTGTTTTTGTTTTCCTAACAGGTGATAGAGTATCAGTAGTATGAAAATGTTATATTCTTATGTTTTGCTTATAAAATTGACTCGGACTACTTGGGAACAAATGGGATATTAAATAAAGTACGTTAATACGTTAACTTTGGAGGTTATTTTAAATTTAAATTTATTTCACATTTCTTGTCAAACAAATTATACCTATTCGCAAAATCATCCACGCACAACGCTAACACCCATTGATAAGTTTTATTCATTTCTCTTAAATAACTCAAATACAAATAAATCCCCAAAGAGAGAGTATTTCAATTCTCAGAAAAAATTAGTATTTCGAAGAAGTATTTAATTTATTTTTAGTCTCTCTTATATTGAATTTGCAAAGGCTTTTCTTTGAAATACTTTTTCTGTTTAACCTGAGCACAGATGTATATCTTTAACATTTGAAAAATGGATTTTTATTCTTTTATATTGTGCAGTATTTCCCTGAGGAATTCTGTATCAAAAACAAGAAATGATAAGCACCACTGTAATATGTAATACTCGTAAATTACATCTTTCTACCATATTTGCACACCATCTCTTCTTTCATACTTCAAAACATGTTTCATAAAACAGCCGACAGTGGAAGGCAATATTAACATTTCAAAATTAAAGTCCAATCGATCAATCAGGGCGAAATCTGGCGAGTGATTGAGCGCTTCGGCACGATATACGGAAGGAAAACGTGCAGGGCACCTCGTACAGGCGGACAGAAAAGCCCAACGTATTATTATATTTTAACATTTAAAGTATTTAACTGCTAAATATATTTTTTTTCGTAGAAAATATCACGCGGTCCAGACAGCAGACGGGATAAAAACCCGCATCCTCCGCTGTCTGGAATGTGGTGGAATATTTTGTAGTAAAAATTTCCTACTATATTATTTATTTCAGGATTATTTCCCATGCCGTATTTAAATTGCGTGATCCCTTTCTCATAAATTTAATTAAATACGATAATACTTAGTCGATTAACTACATGAAAAGATTGAATCAATCCACACAAATTTCGCTCATTTCTTTATTTATTTCCTTTTACTCAAGTTATTGTTAGATCTAAATATAAGCCTTCTATAAAAAAAGAACCGAATGATCATTTAAGGATTCTGTTTTTGCCGATTATGGTACGGAAACCTAAAAAGCATTCTAAAACTAAGACCTTTAAAGGCGCTATGACTAAAAACAAGGGATCTTATGCAAGTCTAGTCTAAGTCTATAACTAGTACATCGCTTGCAGTGGAGCTAAATGCGATAATATACGATTTGAACGTTTGATTATGTATATATTATTAAGGCCCACTTGCAGCAACTTTGCTAAATCTTGATTCAACTGAAACAACAAAAATCCCACAGAAAATTGCCATTGACATTTTGGCATTTTTGTATAGACTAAATTTAGTTTTAGTTAAACTGAGATTAGCAAACTTGCTGCAAGTGGCCCTTAGTGGTTAGCTCTTTGCACAACCACTTATTTCATATCTTGCCGACTCGTACTTCTTATTAAAATATAAATTCATTGAATAACCTACCTCTTACTTTATTTTGTGGTTACTACTGAATTTGACTTTATTCTTCAAATCATATACACAGGGCCTGACTTACCCACAGGCTAATAAAGCTTAAGCCTAGGGCGCAAGGATCAAGTAGGCGGCGGGGGAGCGCGGTGCTGAGCTGAGACTTACATCAAGACGGACATTACGAAAAATGCAGCCAAATATAAAGCAACCAAAATCCTTAGTCCACTCACATGAATTGCTTGCCTAAACAAATATTTCTGCGTCCTGCACGTCGAACGAAACTCGAATAAATTCACTAGGCAATTCCAATTCCAATTGAACATCATGTACCCCTAACAGAGATGATGACCAAATATTGATGATTACAGGGTAAAGTAAACGACATTCTGTCTGGAGGTCAGTTACTTTATCAAAAAAAAAACTCTTTATTGTTTTCTTGTGTCAATCAACCAAAAAATGACAAAGACAAAACGCGTCAAGGTTTAGAAGTAGGAGTTAGTGACGTCACTTCTGAGTAAAAATCATGCGACATTTAAAATTAATAATATCTCTGTTATGTCTTGATTGTGTTGTTTTTTTTTTATAATCTACCTGATGGACAAATAAAAAAAGTTAAGTCTTCATCTCTATTTATACTTTTACACCAAAATTTAGATTACTTAAAATTTGTCAATGTACCGAGGGCTGCTATTCCCTGGTGGACGCCACCCCTTCTCGTAGAACGTTTTTTATTTTATTTAAAATAAGTATTGAAATGGATAAATAGACTAATTCTAAGCAACTTTTGCTCTTAAAAGTTTTTACTGAAACCCAATACTTTTCGACTTATACGAGAGTGGAAAAGTAAATTTTTCAACAACTTTTATTTCTTTCAATACAGAATCTATATTCAGATGTTCAGAGTCTTATAAAATAATAATTACTGAACTTATTATAAAAAAATATACATATTTCAGTAGTTCAATGATTGTAGATTAGTTTTATGAAAGTTTTTGATAGTAATTCTATTTAATTCAATATCAATGCGTTATTTTTTGGGGAAGCTCACGGAGGTTAATTGTTTTTTTAATAATTAATGAGATGGAAAATCAAGATTCTAATACATTATGTTGCAACAAAAACATATTTCTGATGTTGTAGTAATTAATTTGATCTAATTTATTGAACGTTATTGTGAGATTAAGGCGTTTAAAGTTGTGCATATTATCGTTTTTTCCGTAAACTAGATTTTTGTACGATCAGTACAAAAAAATGAAAATAGTATTTGGGTCATACATAAAATGAATAAAAAAAGTGTTCAGGCTACTCAAATTGAATTTAAACATGTTTTTACTTTAAAATTACTTGTTTATATTATTTGACTATGAAATCTTATATGTTTTGAGAACCGTTTGCATACTAATGATATTATTAGATTTCTGTTAATCATGTAAATCGAAAAATATCTCCTCCTGTAAAAGTTTAAAAGACAGTAAAAAATACATTACATTGCTTTTAGGAATTTTCTTTTGTGTATTAATGACTGTCATATAAAAATAAATATATTCAACTCTAAGGCAAAAAAAAATAGCTTTTAATTAAGATTTATAACCTTTACGATTTTCGTTCACAAATTTTAGGTCCCTTCCTGTAAACAAGCTGAAATTTTAACCAATTTGAACGCATCGTAAACATTTTATTGTTTATGTTGGCAGCATTGCATTCTCTAGCATTCGTTCTTTCGTGAAAGTGACAGCAAGCGCTTTGGTCGTAATAACACATTTTTTTATTCAATTACACTAGTTTTTCGTCGAGATCGTTTATTCTTTCCTGTGTTAAGTGTACAAGGGTAAGTACTGATTGCAAGTATTAATCTATATCAAGGTTTTGTATGTGTATGGGATTATTATTCAAATATCATTTACCCAAAATTCTAACCTCAAATATTAGCGTGCTATCTTAAATTTATAATCGATACATCTCTTCTGTAGACATCTTCCCTGTAGACACACCGTCTACAGAAGCGATCTAAGTCTATAGAAGTGACGTTGCATAGAATATGCTGTGTCTACAGAAAAGAATCATGTCTACAGAAGCTATAAAAAGCTTAAAATTATTTTCTATATGACTGTCTAGCTGTATCATATCAATAATTAGTAAATATAATTGAATTGCTTTATGCTTCATTTATTGGACGTTTTTTTAAGTATTTTTTTCAATAAATTTAAAATGCGTTATTTGTATAAACGTTAAATATAAATTACTTCATTAACTTTTTTTTAAATTTGATTATATTTGATTTAAACTTATCCAATCATCATTTGATTTGTTGCATAAATAATGCATACTACATGGTTTGGTTTAGGTACGATGCCGCGGCAAAGTCGTTCAAGAAGTAATCTCTCTGAAGAAGAAAAAACGAAGCGTAGACGAGAACAGAAAAAGATTAACATACGCCGTGCTCGAGCCAAAATAGACGAAGCTGCACTTGAGGAAAGAAGAAAGAAAGACAGGGAAAGATATAAAAAGAAAAAAGAGCAAGGTCAAATCAAGAATATTAAGGATTGCACACCAAGAGAACAAAGAAAAATTAGAAGGATATGGAGAGAGAAGGCCAAGAAAAAACGTGAAAAGGAAAAAGAAAAAACTAAGGCACTTAATTTCATAGAAGAAAACACTCCGCCGTCTAGTCCTTCGTTTTCACGTGTAAATGTTGGCAGAGCAGTGACAACACGCAATAGACGAAGAATCGTTGCAGAAAATTCTTATCAGAAAAAAGAATCGAAAATCGCCAAATACCGTATGCGACATATAAAAGAAAAGACATAATAAAAGAAAAGCCGAAACCGACAAGAAAATCGACGAAGATTCAAGATATAAGAAAGGCAATTCATGATTTTCTACTTCAAGATGAAAGCAGCCGATAAACACCTGGAAAAAAGGATACAATTACGAGGCATAAAATCAAAAAACAAATACGATTTTTGAAAGATTCTCTTTTAAATTTATATAAAACATTTGTAAATAAGACTGGAATATGTATTTCATATGAGACATTTCGTAAAAATCGACCATTTTGGGTATTAATCCCAAAAGTTGATTCCAGAAACACTTGTCTTTGTGCCATTCATACTAATAATGATTTTATTATACGAGCACTTTACAATACAAAAACAATCCCGTACATGTCTGCCTCTGTATTGATTAAATCATTATGTTGCGATACTGGCTTAGCATTAAATTGTTTAGAAAGACATTGCACTGACTGTAAAGATAAAATAATTCAATGTAATTGTTGTGGATCGTTTCTCATGCGAAGTAATGTTCTCCTAAATAAAACATAAACTTGTAATTACAAAAAGTTTGGTATCGGCAACAGTAATAACATCATTAATAATGATACTATATCGTATGAGAGATGGATAACAAAGACTGTTACTATCGTAATAAAAGGAGAAACAAAACAATGCAAGAGATCTGTAAAAGAAAAAGTGGTGACTACGAAGAAAAATCTTTTGGGTATATTACACTCTAATTTACCGACTTATATGAAGCATGTTGCATATGTGATGCATCAATCAAATGCTGTTCAAACTATCAAACAACGATTAACGCCTGAAGACGGACTTCTCCATATAGATTTTTCCAAAAATTACAACTGTAAGTATGCCAAGGAAATACAGTCTGCTCATTTTGGCGGTTCAAAAATACAGTTATCTTTACATACTGCTGTTTATTATAGTACCCAATCAGAACCTCCGAACAATTATACAGCAAGTACTTTCTTTTGTACCGTATCAGAAAATATTAGACATGATCCTGTCCTGATATGTGTACACTTACATGCTTTGATAAATAGAATTCGACAACTGACGCCAAACTTAAAAGACTTGCATGTTTTAAGTGATGGACCTTCTACTCAATATCGGAATAAATCCATGTTCCATTTAATAGCAACATACTTAAGCAAAGTGTTTAGTGTTAATTCCATCACTTGGCATTATAGCGAGAGGGGACATGGAAAAGGTGCACCGGATGGAGTAGGTGGCTGCATCAAACGGATCTGCGACAGCTGTATTGCGAGAGGTCAAGACGTTGCTAGTTTTGGATGAGCTGATATTATGCCTGGATAAGTATTGTAGAGGCATTGAAGCCTATAGGATAAATGAAGCCCTCATACCTGAAATTCAACAACTTTTAGACCGTGCTGCTACAAAACCCTTTAAAGGTAATTTGGGGATTCACCAATTATCATGGAGTATTGACGAACCGCATACTATCCACGCAAGGCGCGTAAGTTGCTTAGAGTGTAAGGCCCACGAAATTTTTTATCATTATGAAATTGGTGAAATCCAAATAAACTATAGAGATCCGACAATGGATGACTTTTTTTTATGTTATAGGGGGCATACGAGCAGACGGCTCACCTGATGGTAAGTGATCACCGTCGCCCATGGACACTTGCAACACCAGGAGTATCACAAATGCGATGCCGGCCTTTAAGGAAGGAGTACGCTCTTTTTTTGAAGGTTTTTGGGTCGTATCTGTCCGGAAACACTGCTGGCGGCAACATATTCCACAGTTTTGTCGTACGTGGTAAAAAATTTCGACAAAAACGCACGGTTTTGGATAGCCACGCATCAAGATGATGGGGATGAAATTTTTGTCGCGATGTACGATGGCGAAATGCAGCAGCTGGAATTAATCCGAACAATTCCTCAGAACACTCCCCGTGATAAATGCGATAGAAGATGCAGAGCGAAGCTACATCCCTATGACTTATCTAGAACTAGTACACCTGATTCTATAATAGTATCTCCAGGAACTCCCGATGCTCCGACTGTAACAAATTCACCGAGTTTGACTGATAGACTTACGCCAGATATTATTACTATGCAGCAAATTTGTAGGCCTACAAAAAGAAAATTAAGGATTTACTCAGATGATACTGATGAGGACGAAGTGACGAAGAAGCCTATAAATAAATTTTCATCTGACGATGAAAATATTTTCTGATAAGTTTTATATGACCACAGAAGTATATGTCTTTTCTGTGGACATTAGTTGATTATTTTTTTGTTCTTTATTAGTAAACGATGTTAATTATACTTATTAATTAGTCAAATAAGTTTCATTTAGAAGTGTGTTTGATGTGTTTTAAAAAAATATTATGTGGTTTAGACTGATTAATATCCACTTTGTTCTTTTCTGTAGAAAACTTGATCTCATCTGTAGTCATAAAAAATAAAAAAATGTGATGTATTGCTCAAACAATGTAAACTGATCTCAATTAATATAATTATGCGAATATTAATGGCATTCTTTGTTAAAATAAAAAATATAAGAGCGATCAGGAAAATTTAATTTAAATTTTTCCTAATGTCCAATTTTTGTGTTGGACCCATTTGCAAATATTCTACATTAATTTTCAATAGGAAGAATAAATCTACTGTTTATTTCTATTGGAAGTAGTCAAAATCTCTTCTAAGGGGCCAAACGAGGCGCTCAAAATTTGCGATTTATTGCAAAAAATATGAAAGGGCTCTTAATAAATAGCAAGAAAAATAAAATCTTGCATCAACCACTTCATGTTTTAATCCCCCGCCTGTACTATAATAATAAAACGATAATTAAGCAATAGACATCAATCACGTTGGTCGGGAAATTAATTCACCGTAGGTAGGTACGTAAAAATATGCTAATGTTTGAAGTTAACTAACAAAAAACAACACGATATTCAGCGTGGAAAATATTTTCGTGGCCAATCTAAGCGAAATTGTGAAGGTGGCAAAGGGAAGAGGCGACCGAAAGCTTACGTGCCGTATCTGTATCGTGAGTAAATTAACTGGCAGCTAACCTCTGCTACCCCTGTAGGTAGGTAGGTATCTATTATACTTAGCATCATAACAGCTAACAGCTTCGGTACTGTAAACTCTATTATTTCATTTCAACGTTGTACCACGTTAAACGGTACAGTGCTACCCTCGTCATCTTGTTGTGTTAATTTAAAAAGGTGTAAGCTAATGTTTCTCCACATAGATACTTAAACATATGCACTGTTGAATTTCAGTGTAAGAAGTCGCTTTAGCGAAACTTGGCAAAAGGTATTGTTATGAAAGTAAATAAAAACCATGCAGTGTTTCTATAGATTAGGTGGAAATTTATTGTTCAGTACGTTTGTGCTTAGAAAAATCATGAACAAATAAAACGATATAATAGCTAATAAAATAAGATTATTATGTATAATTCATAAGACAAGATTAGTACCTACCTACAAGTTATCAAGGAAAAATCAGTATTATTTTATATTCATGGAATTCTCCCACCATAGTCAATTCCAGTAAACACAGTGTTGGAAATAGAGTCTTAACTGGAGTATGTACCTTAATATACAGAACAAAGTAGATGTCTAGCATAATTGATTAATACTAAAATAGCTAGCTAACTACTAAAGTTAACACTTTCGGAAGAAATGGTCCTCAGAATTTGAATAAGAACAAATGCCACAGACAGAGAGCACTTATTATATGTAGGTATAAAGTAAATATATCTCTCATGAAAATAAATTCACAATTTATCATTTATGTTAAAGAATTTTTTTAAATAAGGCTATTAAATTTCTTGCTTTGCTTACGTAAAATTGAGAATGGACATAATATAATGGAAAAGTATGCAAAAGTGTAATAAATTAGTTAAACAAAACAAAACAAAATCTTTTTTCAATGCACTTTTCTGTGGAATTTTGACATCACTCATCTTTGTGAATAAGTAAGTAATAAAATAGTTTAAGTTTTAATGACCATATAACGTGAATAGTATACGATAGAGACGTTTTACGATTAAACTTAAGCTGATTATAAATTTAGCTTTAATCAAGTGAATGCTGCGTGGCAGTCGTCGGGTAAGTCCACGGAGAAATCAGCGGGGCAGCATGCTGGCGACGCACTATGGGAACTTTGACTCATTTTCATCTCAAAAATCTATAACTCCTGTGTTAATAAAGATATTATCATGATTTTTTTTTCTGATAACCTTGAATATATTTGCTTTAAAATAATGTATAATTTGTGTATATAAGTTTGTTTATAATACTTACAAAAAAATAGGAAAACAAAAAATATACAATTTTTAGACTTACATCTATGTTTTAATAAGTTTATAAAGGTAACTAGTAAATGTAACTGCTTTAAATTAAAAACCAAACAGCATAGTAGCTCAAATGTCACTTAAGAGCTACTTTTTTTCATCAAAAAGTTCTAAATTTTTTTTATTATACGGTTTTCTCAAACTTGTAATGTACGGATCAGAGGTATACAATAGTGTGTAGAACATCTTCGTTGGTGGCTGTCCTCAAATATTTTCTTGCAAGATGAAGCCTGAACTGTTTGTAGTTTCTGTTCCGTGACTCTTTAGCATCTTTTTAAAGTTGCCCAAGAGGCAATAACGAAAAATGACGTATGACACTTTCACCATGAATCAAAACCTTGTGCACGGAAAATGGCATATAGTACAATTTATATTTATTAACATACAGTTGTGCTCAATCAAATTCCATCTCCAATTTCTGTTTTGGCTTAAGAACTGTTCTTTCTATCGACCAGCTTTAGTATAGCGTTGACGAAACTAAGTTTTGAAAGACTTCTGAATACTTGCGATCATTAAGCAATATTTGCATCGGAAGATTCGGTGAAATTGCTTTGTATATAGTTAGAGATAGAAACACCATAATTTGTATCACTTTCAAACAATAAGAGACTTAGGTTGCGTCTGGTACACGAACACTGACTCATTGCGGCGAGATATTTAAAAAAACAATTATTTACGACAAA